TCGAGGGCAACATACTTGCGGGACAGGACTTCACTGGCTTGAACCATGGTTGCTGCTGTCTTGGGGATGTGCTGTTGTGGGTGGGGGTATAGGATGGGGTGGAGGGTCAATGGCAAGATTGGAGATGGGAAAGAGAGGGTGTGATGAAGAGAAAGTTTGTGCAGGCGTGTCGAGCTTTGTATTGCTCAAGTAAAGTTCAAACGCGGTAGTGGGGTTGGCTGGCGGACCACAAAAAACACCCCCGCTAGGGAGCGCCGTAGTGACGCAGCTGGTGTCGCCCAAGCCTTCACCACACCCAGTCCAGCATCCAGCCCAGCCAGGGTCTGCGCAGAAACAGACATAGTTGCAACGCCACACAGTGTGCTTTGTAGATAACGCTGTCAAATGGTGGCCGTGATGCTACACGACTACAGTCGCCTTTCAGCCTGCCTCTGCTTTGGCTTCTTCCATGGACGGCCACTGCCCCTCGCAGCCGACCGCAAGCGGTGGTGGCGCGTCTCCAACCATGTCCTTCACGGCCGCGCTCTGAAGTCATGGCGGGGCCGCGTCTGCTCGGCAGCGCGGAACTAATAAAAGTGGGCGGTGTCTTTTCTGCATCGCATGCCATGGCCGTCGGTAGCTCAACGCAACATCATCGCATCCACAGGTGACAGGCTGCCCGACTCTCGCCGCAACACGCCAGTCGTCCCGTTCACCGGCCCCGCGTCAAAACCACGCAACCGCCAGTCCGCCAGGGTCCCACCAATGATATCACCCTCGATTCACCCGAGTACATGCGACATCTCGTGATTACCTGTAGCATTGAGTTTTTGTCTGATTCGGTTCCGATATGCGGAAATCTTCGTCACGTGTCCAGTATAGCCATGTCCCTTATGCACCCGCACAAGCCCTCGTTTCCCGAGGTTCTGGGCCTTTCGGCTTCATTTCATGCCAACAGCCTCGCAGCGGCTTGCAAGTCCGCGCCTGGCCGCTCACGCTTCCGATTCTTTCGCCCTGACCCGTACGTTGCGCACCAGTACCCTCTCTGCGCCCGGCAACCGTATCTCGGCTTTGAATGTGCCCAATTGCTTCACCCGCCATGCGTCGCCCTCCTCGTGTCCTGATACAAACTTGACATCGCTCTCGTTCAGAGTAACACGAGATGCTTCATCGTTGTGTGCCAGCGCGCTCTTGATAGTCGTTGCCAGATCCGCAGTGGATACCGATCCGTAAATAGCGTTTGCCGTTGCCTTCGCCTTGCTCATAGCAGCTGCAGTCAGAATGTCGGCTGCACCCGACGCCCCTACCCGTTCTCGTTTGGGACTGTCTTGCTCGATGGGCTGGCGGTAAAAGTCAATCGTTGGTGGGACGAACATGTCGAGGAGCTCCATGGACCGCTCGGGCTATTCTTTCTGTTAGCACACCGGTTTGCAGCCAAAGGGGCCATGTAGCTTACACTGAGCACATCAATCTCAATCGGCCGCACAAAGTACTTGGGCTGCTGCATCAAGTCGCTCTCTTCCTCATCAGCCTCCTCTAGATTCAGCCTTACGCCAAATGTGACGTCGCGTGCCATATCCACATCCTGGGCCTTGAGCTGCTTCAACTGGGTAGCGGGAACATAGTCGGCAATGCGTGCGGGAAACCAGCGATTGCGCATCAGCGAGGGGTTGAGGGGGACATAGGAGCCTTTGCAGTGTTAGCCAGTGTTGCGGCTTGTGGTTTCTGGGCGCATGCTTGACACTGCAACAATGGCTTTGCAGCAAAGACATGTCGAGCTTTGGCAAAGCGCCCTCCCATTTCATGTATCGTACCTGCGCGACCGAACCTTGGCACATCCTTGAGCAGCTTCACGACAATGTTGCGCTCCGCCTCTTTCGCCTTCTTCGAGATGCTGCGTATCTGTTGCGTCCCCCACGCTTCAGAATTTTGCAGTGTGGCCCTGCGTACACATACCGTGCACTGGGGAAGAAGAGCCAAGCCCCTCATTGAAGCCATTGTGCGTGTTGTCTGGGAGTTTGTCCGGGTCCGAGAAATATGCAAGAAGTCCGGACAATTCTGGCGATCTTCGCGGCGGAAGCGGAGGTGCAAATGGGCCGGTGCGTACTTACTACGCTGATGGGCTCGGCATACTTTTGCACCTGCCTCACGACCAAAACACCAGGAAACGGCCAGCGCGATACCCAAAACTGGGCAGCAGCCAGACAATGGCGTCGGCCGCAGTCAAACTTACTCCATCCACTGCCACACGCACTTAGCACGACCACGTACCGTATTTGCAGCACCAGCGTGCAAGACCCTAACCCTTGCCTCCGTCCAATCCCGCGGTAGCGGGAGTGCCAGGCTCCGCAAGATGCCTGAGAAGCATCTCACAATCGCGACGTACGCCGCCGGCGCCTCTCTTGCCGCCATCACTCTGGTCTATGTCTTTGGACCAACGTATTTCCTCGACGATGATTCAAATGCAGCTAGCAGTAAGAAGAAGGGCGTAGTGGGGCTTACCAATGCAGCAAACGACTGCTTCATCAACTCGGTCCTGCAGGCCCTCGCAGGCTTACCGGATTTGCGCATCTACCTCATACGAGAAACCCACAGACGGCTGCTCGACGGACCAGAAGTCTACGATGTGGACCCGGAGAGACAAGGCATAGCCAATGGCCCCGTAAAGCCTGCCAGGCTAGAGGGTCTGCAAAGGGGGATCCTGACCCATGGGTTGAAAGATATCCTAGACCGACTCAACGAACGGCCGATATACAAAAAGACCATCTCTCCGCAGCCCTTCATCAGAACGCTGGAGCGTGCATTCGGCACACGCATCAGCCGGCAACAACAAGATGCGCAAGAATTTCTCCAAATAGTGACGGAGCGTCTTTGCGACGAATACCATGCTGGAGGAAATGCAAGGCGACAGGCTACTCTAGATGCCGTTGCCACGGTGAACGGCGACAGTCTTGCTGAAGGAAGCAACTTGGAAGCGCAGCCCAACGGGACAACTGCCCAAGCATCCGCTAATGACCAGGGCGAAAACGAGGCCGAGGGAGACGAAGCCTCTACAGACGAAGAAGGGTTCCCTTTTGAGGGCAAGATCGAGTCGCAGATCGAGTGTCAGGTTTGCCATTTCAAGCCGAAGCCTACAGTATCGACATTTGTCACTTTGACACTGAATGTACCACAAGCCTCCTCGACCTCTCTCAACGCGTGCCTTGACGGCATGCTCAAGCTCGAGTACATAGATGACTTCAAGTGTGAGCGCTGTCGACTAGAACATGCGCTCAGAAGCAAAAACCATGAGCTTTCAACCGCAACTGACCCGGACATCAAAGGACGGCTGGAGTCAGACATTGCTAAGATTCGAAAGGCACTAGATGAAGATCCTGAGCAGACACCGGAGGGTGTTGAGTTACCTGCTTCAAGTCAAGCACCCAAACGTCGGATTTCCCGCCACATGTACATTTCACAGTTTCCCAAGGTTCTTGCGATACACCTATCACGCTCTACCTTTGCGATTGGCGCCACATCGACGAAGAATCTTGCCAAGGTCGCCTTCCCGGAAGCTCTTCCATTAGGAGGACTGCTTCATCGCAATAACTATCGCCTTCTTGCAGTTGTCACTCACAAGGGAAGCCACAACAGTGGCCACTACGAGTCATTCCGGCGTCAAGTGCAGCCAATGCCCTTTTCCACACCTGTGTCTTTTGGCACAGAAGGTGCATTCAGTCGTCAGGCGAGTCCGCACCCGTCAGCAGCACCATCCGCAGTGCCGTCTGCCATGCAAAGCCCACGCATCTCCACACTCAATCTGCCCAACCATATCGAACGCGGATCAGGAGTGTCGACTGCATCGACGCTCGACTCACCGTCGTCCCGATCGCTGTCTTCGCAAGACAATATACCACCCTCACGAGGACCAGCCCCAACATCTGCACCTCGACTGTCAGAGTCAGATCCGTCACATGTAGCATCCGCCAGTGAGGTTAAAAATGGTAGTGGAAGTGGAGACGAATCGTTGTCACGGACAAGAAGTATACGATCACTAAGGGAACGGGCGTCGGAGAAGGCCTCTTCAATTGCAGACAACAATCTCCGGCGTCGCAAGCCGAAGAAGGCAAACAACCGATGGTGGCGGATCAGCGATGATAAAATCAAGGAGAGTAAGACGTCGGAGGTTCTGAACATGCAGAAAGATGTGTATTTGTTATTTTACGAGCTGAATAATAGTTGAGGATCGCGGCATGGAGCTTATCTCTATCAAGTGTTGTAACAACGGCAAACGGTATGATTTTGCATTGGGGTGAGCACCATCAGCTCGAGTAGCAATTCTTCTCTCAATTAGATAGACACACAAATCCTCAATTGAAAAAAGAAACCTTTAAATATTGTGGACTCGAGTATTACACGCAAGCAAACTGCACCCAAAAGCTAGATGCTTGCCTTGAGGTGCGTGTGTGTGTGTGTGCGCCTAATCACAGTTGATCTCATTGGTCCACACCCCCACGCGGCCTAGATCTCCCTCTTATTACGAATTGGTCACTAGACTGCGCTTCTGCAATGTAACCTACCTACCTCACCTTTTTCCCCTCATTTGTTGTTCTTGTTACACTGCACGAACTTTGCATACCAAGGAAATAGTGCCTTGTATGCGTTGTCCCGCGCGCCACCTTGATTCCCTTGATTTTTTTTAATTTTCTCTGCCCTGTTGTTCCGCAAGTGGTTTCTTTTTTTGGGATCTGGGGTTAAGATCTTACTGCATTAGCGAGTATCGGATTTGCAAGGCAAAAGTGGTAGGAGTGGGTATTTAAAGAGAAGGGGGAGGGGGGGAAACAAGGAGGTTTGGAAGGGGTTTGCTTTGGCTGTCTTGTGTTACGAAGAAAAGTGGTGTAGAAGGAGACTACATCATAGACTCTATTGCACAAAAAAAGGTTTCTCTCTCCACATTACTAACACAAGGCTGAAACTTGTCTTTTTCAAAGTTCAAAAGTGTCAAGGCTGGTAACCCCATCTCATCCCCCCACAACACCACCATGCCGAGCCTCGAAGCAGACGAGTCAGCCTTCACGCAGGCCAACGGCAAACTAGCCTTTGCAAAACCGCCGAGAATCCTCATCATCGGGGCAGGAAGCCGCGGGGCGGCCTACGCCGACGCAACGTCTCTCTGCTCCAACGCCGTCATCGCGGCAGTATGCGAGCCCAACGACTTCAAGCGCGCCGAGTTTGGGCGCAGGTACATGTGGGGACCTGACGAGGAAGCTGGACCGGGGCAAAGTTTCAAAGACTGGCGTGAGTGGAAAGAGTATGAAATGCAGCGACGGCAGCGCGAGAAGAATGGCGAGCAAGGTGTCGTTGGCACGGGCGTTGATGCCGTGTTTGTGTGCGTCCTAGATGAGTTGCATGAGGAGGTTGTGTGTGGGATTGCGGATATGGGGTTGCATATTTGCTGTGAGAAGCCGATGAGTACGACGCTTGAGAGCTGTGTGAAGATGTATCAGGCGCTGGATAAGGGCGCGAGGGAGGGGGGCAAAGAAATGATTTTTGGGATTTGCCATGTGTTGAGGTACTCGCAGCATAATATGCTGCTGAGGCATTTGTTGCTGGACAAAGAGGTGATTGGGGATGTTATGAGTGTTGAGCATGTTGAGCCGATTGGGTGGTGGCATTTTAGTCACAGCTATGTGAGGTATGTGAGGTGTAGGCATTCTTCACTGATGTAATGGCTAACATGAGGCAGGGGCAACTGGAGGAAGGAGTCCAAGACTGCGCCTTCCTTACTCACAAAGTCATGTCACGACATTGACTTTTTGATGTGGATGCTGTGTTCACCAGGCGCGAGCGCAAAAGATGCGGTGCCCCATCTTCCTTCCTACGTCACTTCGACTGGATCACTCAAGTTCTTCCGCAAAGACCGGAAGCCAAAGGCTGCTGGATCGGCGACGAACTGTCTGTCCTGTGCGCACGAGCCAAACTGCGATTGGAGTGCGAAGAAAATTTATCTCGAGGGGCATTTGAACAATGGCAACGCAGATTGGCCCGTCAAGGTTGTCAACCCGGAGATTGAAGACATGTTTAAGACGGCTGGGAAAGAAGTTGCTGGCAAAGCACTGCTTAGGAGCCTAGCCGACGACTACACGGCTGATACTCCGGCCAGCAAAGTGGACGAACGGTCGTGGTTTGGTCGGTGTGTGTGGGAGTCAAGCAATGACGTATGCGACGACCAGTGCGTGACGATCACATGGGATGATGATGCGATAGCAAAAGATGACGAGGGGCTGCCTATACTGCGTGGGCGCGGTGCAAAGACGGCACAGTTCCACATGGTAGCGTTTACGGAGAAGCAGTGCGAGCGACGTGGCCGCATATACGGCACAGAGGGCGAGATTGAGTATGACAGCAGAGAGATCAAGGTATACAAGTTTGGCAGTGGGCAAACCAAGGTCCACAGCCCGTATGTGGCAGGCGGTGGCCACGGGGGCGGAGACGAGGGACTTGCGCGGCAGTTTTTGCTGGCAGCGGACGCTGTGGACTCAGGCGCCATGGCCGCGGCAGACGCTCAGCGTCGATACCTCGGGTGCGACTTGGACGAGGCTTTCCGCAGCCATGCCATGGTTTTTGCGGCTGAAGAGGCCCGAACGAAGCGCCAGGTGGTGGAGTGGAAGCGGTGGTGGGCTGACCGGGTGGGGTCGCACTTGGAGCAGCGGTAACGTGGGTGGCATGGCATGGGGGCATGGGTTGCATGGAATGATGACAATTGATGCCAACGCTGGTCAGCATGGCGGGCGCGTAGAGAGGGCAGAGGGCACAGGGCATGACATGGCATGAGGCTCTTGCACAGCTTGGTCCACGGGCTTCATGGGAAGGCGAAATGAAGGCTGTGCAGTCTCGCGCCAATCCGCTGCCAGCGCTCCATGAAGCAGCCCTGACCGCAGAGACGTTTGACAGGTAGCGCTCCGCTTTCAGGAAATTAACGGTCTTTTGGACGCTGGTAATGCGACTCGCTCGGGCTATATTTGGGGGCTTTGGTCAAACCTAATACTGCCGGATTGGGCAGAGTGCGGGCGCTTAATGAACCATGTGCGGGAGCCGGACGGTGAGGCTCAAGGGAACGCACCACACAGCACGGCGGGCGGCCCAGTCTGCGTACCGACGGCTGGGCGTACGGGCGCTTGGATTGGCGGATGCCGTGGCCATGGAGGCAGGCGGGGGGGCGATGGTTTGGTGCGGCCGTGGTACCTGTACTATGTACGCTGGGCGAGCAGGCTGCTGGCGCCGTGGATGCTCGTCGCTGCACACAGTGTGCAGGCGGGCGTGGTGGCGACAGCGCAGCAGGCGGGCGTGGGCTGGGACCCCGAACGTGGTGCTTTGTCAACAACGCGGTCGGCGGGCACGCGTTGACGTGTAGAGGGGCTTGGACGACGTGTTATAGTCGTGAACACACTTCTCTCCGCCCATTGTGAGTCACCCCGTCGTGCAGCTGGCCGGGCTGCGGGAAGACGCATGCCGGGCGGCCGAAACGAAACGCTGGAGAGCTGACAGCCAATCAGCCCCGGGCCCCCGTCGATGACTCTTCACCACCCCCGCTGCCAGCCCCACCCTTCGCGGGACCCAGCACGGGCCTTGCGGCAGGGCGCCAACCACACCTGCACCACAACCCTCCATTCGTCCCTTCGCGCCGCCCACCCACAAACTGCCGCCATGGAGAAAACAAGAGAACGAGGAAAAAAAAACCCTCGCTCGCCGTACCACTGCTGCATCGCGACGCAGACACAACGGGGCCGAGAATCCCGGTTTCAAGTCGTCCAGCCGCCCCCATGTGCAGGCGCCTCGCTGGCCTGCCTTACCGCTTCCGTCTGCCTCTGGATGCCGCTGGCCACTCACACACGGGCAAGCCTGCCCACCAGGCCACTTCAAGCCTGCCCGGCCTCAAGAATAGCATTCCAGAAAGCCGTTCGCTAGCTAGCCACGTACTCGCCCAGCCCATGCAACGGCTACGCTATGTTTCAGACGCCCTGTGAGGCTCGCATGTCGTAGACGGCTCCGCTCGTGCTACTGCCGCCAGACCGCCTCGTGCTCTTGTATACCGGCCCAAGGTATCGGACCCCCTTCGATGCATCGTGTTTCAGGCTTGCTAGCGCGGTGAGAGCGTTGGTTCTCGTCTCTCTACGCGGGGAACACCAAGGATAAGAAGTCTGGCTGTGCCGCAATCCATCACGCCCATCCATTCATCTTGCCCTGCATTTCCATCAAGAGCACTGCCTCACCCCGAGTCAACCGTGTCTCGCCCTTGCTTTTCCTTTCTCTCCACCTTTGCATTGTTTGGTCTTAGACACTCGGAGCTGGTCTCTACTATTAATCCCTATTCCATAATCTCCTCCTGCCTGTTCTCTCAGTCTCCACAGCGTACGTTATTTTTTTCGGATTTTCTTCCATCTGGCTCCCCCTTCACACAGACCACGTGGGCTGCCGCTGACATGAACCAGTCTGGTAGCTCTCATCCATCCAACATGTACAGCCGTCAAACAACCCCCCCGAATGCTTCATTCAACTACATCCCCGGCAGTGTCGGTTCAGACCTCACATACTACTCGCAAGCCTCATCACCAGAACCCCAACTGGCCGTTCCTACTCCCCCACGGTCACCACTAAGGCAGTATGGCCCTGTTCTTCTCCCCAAGGTCCGCGTCCAGGACCAGGTATCCGAGCCCACCACTGGCCCCGTTAGACATCGCAGGACGACGTCCAACTCCAGTGCCGGCTATGCCTACAGCCCCTACTCACGTTCATCCTCCATGGCCCGCCGTGGATCAAGCCCATTGAACCACAACATCCACAACATGCACAGCACACTGACATCCCCCGTGTCAACTGCCTCATCATACGACTTCAACCTCTCCACTCTCAACTCTCCCATCACCTACCCACAGCAGCCTGAGCTTGCTCGGCGGTCATCATACATGAGCTCGCACTCTCGCTCTGCTTCTGCCAACCGCGCTCGCCACGACCGCTCTGGCTCTGCTGGAAGCGTCGACGAGCAAGTCATCAGCCGCTATGGCTTCCCAACCTACCGCAACATGCCCAGCTATGTCACTGCCTCGACTGCACCCCAGTCCAACTTGGGTGTTGCCACGGCTTTCCCCTCAACATACTCCTCCGCCCAGGACATGTCCAACTTCACTGCGTCTTGCATCCAGGAATTCTCCGTCCCAGAGTTCGATGCCGCACCGGCTGTTCAATACCCAGCTTTTGGAGACTTCACCTTCGATGGCTTCCAGCAAATGCAAGCCACATCCTCTTTGGTAGAGTACCTCGCTTCTCCCAACCCATCTCCATCTCTGGTCCGCCGCGTCACTAGCGCACCCCGAGGCATCAACAACCACTTCTGGTGGGACATCCGCAACCTCCGCAGCTGGGAAGACTTCAACATCACCACCATCAAGTCCATCCCTTCGGTGCTTCCCCTCCTTGAGGTTCCCGTCCCAGCCACCTACCTTCCCCAACCCTGCCGCCAGAACCTGCAGCCCGAGAACGAGTCGGCTCTCCAAGACATCTGCACCAACTACTACGCCAACAAGGTCAATGCAGCTCTCAAGGTCGCTCAAGGAAACAGCCACATGGTGATGCGCGCTATCAAGCCAGTCGCTGGCCAACGTCAACAACCAGAGTTCGTCTCCAACTACCCCTCTGACTATGAGAAGACGCTCTTTGGCGACAGCCGCGGCCGCGTCGTTGGTCTCGTCAAGTGCTACGACCAATGGAACACTGGCATGCGCAGCGAGTCACCCCCCAAGCAAGTCCTCTACCTCCAAGGCCTCGCCCATCTCCAGCGCGTGATGCGTGAGCACGGCTGCCGCTATGGCTTCATCATGACTGAGATCGAGCTCCTCTGCGTCCGCTGCGGTGGTCCCTCTGACATGTCCACTCCCGACCCCACCACCGTCAATGCCCAAACCGGCGTGCCTATCTTCGGCTACCTCGAGACCTCAGCTCCCATCAGCCTGTCCACCAACGGCTCGCACCCAGAAACCGGTGACATGCAGCTTACCGCCGCGCTCGCCCTCTGGTACCTCCACATGCTCGCCAAGGAGAATCCCTTTGAGGGCATGGGAACCTGGCGCATGGACGTCGGCGGCCCTGCTGCTCTCACCCGTCAAAATTTCCTTGAAAAGGACTCTTGGATCCCCAAGCCCCAGCTTGGCGAGAAGCGAGAGGCTAAGCGCATCAGAGGTTGGGTATTTCCCGATGAGCCGCTTAGCAAGAGGGAGTGCGGCAAGGGCAAGAGGGGTAAGAGCATTGGATAGATGCGGGGCTTATGAGCTACTAATGAGGATATGAGGATATGACTGGGACATGATGCCATGTGGAAATGAGCATGACACAAAAAATACATATATATATATATTAGTTTGATACCGCTGGCCGGTATCGTATTTCGCCTGTTACTTGTCTACTCTCTTCTTGCGACAAGAGGCATTGAGCGGCGTTTTTTTTTCCTTACTTCTTCTTTTCTGACTCAGATATTTCGTTTGAGTAGCATTTTCTAGGGTTAAGGCATAGCATTTATAGGTCGCGCGGGATATCCTATTTTCTTTATTGTTTCATTGTTACATGTAGTTAGTGCATGCTATAGTTTAGCTAATATAACATCTTACATATTACAATATGCACCTACTTAAAGACAAAGCTTTTAACTACTACTAAAATATTTTTTTGAGTAAAGTAGTAATAGAATGATGATTAATATATATAGTTACTAACGATGGAAAAAAATAGAATTTGCTATCACCCATCACTAACAAGGAAAAGCTGGAGATGTACGGGGATGAAAGTGAGCCAACGAAACAAGGATTCAAAACAATTCGTCTTACTGTGCTACATAGTAGAATTCATGTATGTGGGCCACTAAAAAGGGAACAATAAAGGCCAGGGTGAAGAGTACGCGCTATATTATAGAGAGCCCAATCTATTCTTTTTGAGTCGCGATTATAAGGAATTTCTTTATAATTAATCTGCTATAGTCATCTAAAGAAGAGCATAGTCTTCGTTTTAGCGCGTCTCCACACACATAACTTGTACCATGTAGCACAGTAAACATGAGTCCCCTATCTAGCTGCCCTCGCGAGAATCTCACGACCTGCTAGGAAATTAGCAAAAGTTCTGCCGTCATGAATCCTTAAGCATGATTGAGTTCGGAAGTAAGCAGGCTAGACTCGTGGGCAAGGTCCGAATCATGGTCCCTCCGATGCGTTTATAGTGCAACAAGTGCATCGTCCAAGGCAAGGATTCGCTGGCACTGCTTATTCTTGCAACTTAAGACAGGAGCAATAAGTGCCGTCGTTAAGGCGTGCATCGTCTCCATCCCGCTCTTCATCCACCAGCATTTTGAACACTCTAACGTGTCTAACAACTGCACGTTTGCTATTACCTACAATACCCGTACCACGGCTTTCTACAATGTTGATTAAGTTGCTTGCTGCACAGATCTTTATTGCCGCCCATCAATAGCGGGAGGTGTGGACGCCTTAGGTTGTAGCAACATATGTAAGTAAATCGAAAAAGAGTGTGGATATGGGCTGCGAGGGCGGGTACAGGAGGAATCTATTTACGAGTGTTGTGTGCATTGGCAATTTAGGCAGCGATATTATAGTACGTAGTTAGTGCATGTAACAATTCAGCCAATGCAACACTATTAGCCTTATTGTAATAT